CCCCAAAACCCCAAAACCCCAAAACCCCTATGTGGGGGATAAATATTGAATTTTGTAGGGGTGTAGGAGAGAAGGAAAGATGTCAATGGAAGAAAGTAGGTTTAGCAAGATACAGGAATCGGGTAAGCCTCAATGCCTTTGGGGGTTAAAAGGAGAAAAGTGGGCTTGGCTCCAGCTGCTCTTTTCTAGAAAATAAATCCTGAGAAGCTTAAAATTATTTGTAGATTGCTTTTGAGAAAATGTTCAAATTCATATTTGATAACCCTACCAAAGCTTCTCTTATATAGAGGCCTGACGTATTCTTTTGTCTGTATCTCTGTTTCAATTATCATGAGGCCTCTAATATTTTTAGAAAGAATTGTTAAGGGGTACTATTAACTCAGGGTTTAACTAAACCAAATGAGATTGCTGTAATTTATCCTACTCACCCAGATTCTCAAGGATACTTAATAGAAAAGTTTTGTTCGAGATTGTTTTTATAATTTTAGATATGATAATTTCAGTTATATTTCAAGATGAATTGTCCTATTATCTCACTTTTCTTAAAATCTTTTAAGCATCATATATCGCTTCAAAGAGGTTTAGTACGATAGAATTTAGATATTCACGTGAGGTAAAGAATATCGAAGTTGATTACACCCAAACCTTCATATTCTTATGATCTCAAGTCAGATTTCTCTCATTCCTCCTCTACCACCCAATTCTTGCTTCTCAAAATCTCACTGATCCTTTCTATTTTTATTCATCGAGATTCGAGGTCCTGGTTCCCGTATCTTGCAGGCTATGTAGAGAAGGTGGTTACCGAGTGCCTTGCCCTTGAATCAGGAGAGATACAGGGAGACTGAGATTATCAAAGAGCAGAGATTAGCAGAATACAGCACTATGAGGAGAACGATCCTGGCTGCCCTCAAATGTGTCAGTGAAGATGACGAGGAGAGAACTGGGTCCGAACCGAAATTGAGCATTCAATTTAGAAATACCATAAGCCAAGCACCTCTCTTAAGAACAGGGGTTCAGTCGCATAAGAGAATGAAGGTGACTTTCTGGACATCTGATGATTTTTCTTCCTGGGAGCCATAGGAAAAGTTGAATGGGAGACTGGTTATTTTTCCAATAAGCTGGGAAGCCCCAAAAGATTTCGCCACAATAGAGAAAGGATTGCTATGACTTGATATATGAGAGTCACCAGGAAATTCATTGAGAGTTTGAGGTGGAAAAGAGAGATCAGCAAGAAAACATGACAAACTGCTAGATGAGCTGTAGCTGTTCATACTACGATGCAACAAGCCTGCTTGAAGGTTTTGCTTGAGGAAAACTCAGACTGACTAGGTGGCCCAACAGACCAGAAAGTTCTGAAACATTAGGGATATAAAATATTAATTTACACTGAAATACGTCTAGTTAGCTGAGGTCTCATATTCTGATAAAACCTTTGATATGGGCCAGTTGAATTTCTCAACATCACAAAGGGCCACATGTCTTAAGTAGCCCAACTGATAAACTCGTTTAAATACTGCTCACCTTTCATATAGATATTATGAGCTTTCCCCTCTAATCTAACTTATCATAAGAGTTATGATAATTATCCTTTCTATAGAAAGTTCAATCTCTTCAGAAGAAATAGAAGACCACAAAGAAAACAGCCGTAGTGCAGACTACGAAGAGGTACCTGTTTCGGTATCTGTCAATGAGAAGTCCGAAGAAGCAGCCTCCACTGGGCCCAAGTACGTAGACAATGCTATATGGGATTTTGAGGCTGGAAGAGCTGGATATTAAGATTGAGTTTGGCTTAGAAGGGAATTAGGGGTTTAGGTGAAGGTGGAAATTTTTGAGTGGTGGCTTGGCTTTTGTTGGGTGCGATTTTTGATTAGGGATATATTTTACAGACTAAAAGGGAATTAGACATGGTTGGAGTGAATACTATTCAGTTAATCTATTCCTTATTATTTTAGTCCTTCAACTTCACTTCACAAATGTATACAATTCACTCCGATCCTTTTACTTTCTCTCAAATTCATAAATGCCTAATTTTATATCTATTCAGATTTTCTAACTGTACAATATTATCTACAAACCTCTTCAAAACTGGGTAGCAACTATTTTCTATGTAATACTTTTTGTAGCACAGTTTTGGACCGTATAGCGAGGTCTTATTTTCTAATATAGGTCTCATGATGATTTGGCAATGAGGATTAATACTAAGAAGCAGAGCATGTTAAATATTATAAACCCTTCAGATCGAGTTAAAAGTAAGGACAAAGTAAAATTCTAATTTTATTTCTTTGTGGTTTGATTGTTTTGGGTTAAAAATTTTGGTCACCAATATATGGCTGAGATTGGCTATATTCTCAAAAGTATAATTATCACATCTAGTGACTACACAGAAACTAAGAGACCTATGCCAAAGGGGTCAAAACAAGGCTCTTGAAAGCCTGATCAAGCAGGATAAAGATCACCTTGTGCTTAAGATTGAAGATGTAGCCTATGTGTACCAGGTTGACCCTGGGCTGGTGATGATGCTAGTGGAGGAGAAGGTCAGGATAGAGAGGATATAAAAACATCTGCTTTTAGGATTATTACTTCATATACAGATTGGGAGCAGCATGAAGTGGATCTTAGTCTTAGTGAAGCCTTAACTTATAATGATTGAATCGAGGCTCTACTGGAAGACAAAAAGTCAGATGAAGAAATAATGGATTTTATTCAAAAAGTGTACAAAGAAGTCGAAAGAGGTAAGACTTTTGCTGTGATAAGATAAGAAAAATATCAACAATATTAAGTTTAAACTTGTTTATAGACACAATACTGTCTCTAGCAATCATAACCCAAAGATATCAGCTCACACAAATAATGATAGAAGAGTTTGGAATTGATTTCAGACCATTCTTTGTCAAAATAGCAATTGAAGCAGACTCATTAGATATAGTTTATTTATTAAGAAATCTATTTCCAAGAAGTTATACTGTAAATGAAAAGGAATATCTTCAGTCATTGCTTTTATCTTTTCAAAGGAGCAATTCATTTTGGCTTGCTAAGATGAATATCTTAAAAACTTTAATGAACCAGACCAATTACATTAAAGCTGAGTCCTTCTTGCTCTACACTCTTCGGTCCCTAGAGAAAGATGATGTAACTCAAAATCCGATGTACTACGCTCCCAATGTGCTCTTGTTCACTTGTAATCTGATCGAAATTTGCAGGATCCTCGTCGGCAAGTATAATTTCCTGGGAGCCTACACCGAGAAAATCGAAAGTATTCTGATCAAGTCGACTGCTTCCTTTATCGAAGACATTGAAGATGAATTCCATCTGAGAGAACTTGTGTTTGAGAAGGACTATGAAAACAGAGATTCGCTGGACTTACTCTCTAAGTATAGCATTGTCGATATAATGAACAACAAAAATATGGAGAAGATTGCACTTGAGTTATGGACTTCGCAATATGATGTTAAGGGGAGTTTATTTACCACATCATCAGCACTGAAGATTGTAGTTTATGACAGCTTCAACAAACCAAGAGACATTTTAAAAGATTTCTTCTTCTTGAACTGGGAGTATAGATCGATGGATAACTTTGATCATCATTTATACCAATTTGAAGTTTGGAAGACTTCTATGATGGCCAAGTTCATTACTGAAGGACTTTTCTTGGCAATATTGACAGTAGTGTTCCAGTACTATTTAACTGAAGCTACTCAGGCAGCAGTGGATGTTCAAACATCTTTTTCATCGTACGATGGAGAAACTGATGATACTGCAAAAGGAGAAAGACTAACTGTTTTTGAGAGTCAATCTGTGGTATACTACGACAACATGCAAATTACTATCTTACTCGGATATTTAGCTTTGGCTTTCCCCATTAGAATCGTTCTTACAATGGCATTTGCTAAGAAGTCTATAAGACAGTTCACTTTCTTGACAGTGACAAATATCTTGGATATTATGATTTTCTGAGTCTTCACTATTAGACTCTATCTGGAGTACAATTATTTCTATGTTGATAATATAAAAGAAGCAACTTCGGAAGTCCAGAGGGGGAAGAATTACTATGATAATGTTTTCAAGCATAATGATTTCTCAAATTTCTTGGATTATCTTTACTCTATTGGGTCAGCATGCTTGTGGATCAGGATAGTTCTTCTGTTCAGATTGACTAGATTTCTAGGACCTCTGGTGAAGATGATACAGAATATGATTCATGATATTTTAATATTCATGGTTCTTTTTGTCACACAGCTAATTATTTTTGCAACTGTAGGGAATTTATTGTTCTCAAACTCCACTGCCTACTCAAATTTGTATGAATCCTCTCAAACCCTGTTCAATGCAGCTCTTGCTTCTTATGCTTTTACAGATACAGATGACTCTGGCAAGAACAAGTATCTCGGACATCTATTCTTATTGGTGTCAATTGTACTTCAAAATATTCTTCTTCTTAATCTCCTAATTGCTATCTTATCAAGCACTTATGCTATGCTCGAAGAGAAGAAATTAGTGCTCTACATCAACGAAATTTTGAAGCTGAGGCCATCATTGGAGTATGATAGAAGGTATTCATCATTGGTGTCAACCTTTCCTCCTTGGAACATCATTGCCTTGTTCTTCACTCCAGTATTGATGTTTACCAAGAATCCAGAGAATGTAAATTTAGTTCTGTTCCATATCGAGTACATTCCAATAGTGGTTCTACTATTCGGAATTTATGTAGCTATAAATCTTGTGATCATTCCGTTAGCCTATGTGAAGGGAATTTTTGTTAATCTACAGCAAAGCTGGAGTACAAAAATCGAGAATCAGGTGCTTTATAAAATTACTAGGCTAATTATCTGGATAGTTTTTGGCATATTTATCCTCTTCCTCAATTTTATAGTTGATTGTATTGTTTTCTTTATGCATCTATATCAGAGAGATATGAGCCTGAGGAAGGAAAAGCAAAATACGCTTGTGGTATCTTCTAATCTTTATGATCATATTTTTGATACTTTTGAGTCTCTTCACCTGAAAGGAGTAACCAAAGTCAGTTATAAATCGATAATTATCCCGTTGAAAGAAAAGATGAACGTACTTGGGCACATTCAGAACATTATTTTTGGGATTTCTCCTTTTCCAGATGAACATTTTGCCCCAGAGGAATCAACAGATAAGATAAAAGAATTTGTCATAGCTAAGAAAGCTCTTAATTCTTCTGGAATTCCTGCTGAAAATCAACTGTTTCTCTATCCAGAGATTATGAAATCCATATTAAATGAAGTGAGAATCTCTGCTAGACTTCAGGGACTTTGTAAAGCTTGGAGTATTAATATTTCTATTGGAGAAAGAGTCAGAGCAGCTGACAAGTACGAAGATCCAGAGTATTACTCTAAAAAGAATGATTCCTTTCCTCATTTAGCCAAATTTGTAAGATTATTTCCTAAACTTTAGTATTTTATTGATTTGACAGATCTTCACAAAGCATTTATGGGTAAGAATCAAAATATAATTTCTCAACTAATATAGCCCCCAATGAATTTCAGAATACCATGAATGATCCTGAATACATATTCAAGTAAGCCTCTTGTTAAACACTTGTAGTGGGGTCAGACAGATAGTTGAAGAAGGAAATCAAAAGATTTTCGATAAGCTAGAATCTATCGAGAGAAGACTGAACAACAAAAATCCCAATCAGTAAGAACTATCTCAAGAAATTCCCTAATTTCTCACTTTTAGCTCCACCAATATTAATGAATCAAGTGGAGATATGAATCAATCAGATGACTTTGAATAAAAATACCCCAGAAATCAAATTCCCTCATATTTAAATTCAAGTCTCTAATAATAGCCTGGGGTTTTGGGGTTTTGGGGTTTTGGGGTTTTGGGG